AGTCTATAAGAACACTAGCTCAAGAGTTTAAGCGATTAGATTTCAAGGTAAAAAAGGTTTTACTTATCTTTTGTATTTTTTGTAATCGAGTGTCTGATTTATCATGGTCTTTTTACTGATTCAACATATATCTTTATAATATGAATTGAGCCCATCTTGATCGTACTATAACACAGGTTTTTTCTTGTCATGATGATAAATTATTCGCGCACAATTAAGTGTTAAGTTGCTTTACAATTTTGCAAATATGCTAACACATCAGACGAGATAATAGTTTGTTTCATATCACTTATAGCGTATCTATTTTTAAACTATAAACTGTATACTATTTTAAGTCCACCCAATAGACCTTTATAAAAAGGTTGACGTCAGCAGGCTTGTGACGTTGTTTGCGGAAGAAATCTCGAAAGGTTAGACTTTTGTACTTGTTTTAAGTTTTTTTTTAATATATATATATATATATATATATATATATATATATATATATATATATATATATATATATATATATATATATATATATATATATATATATATATATATATATATATATATAAGAATTGGTTTCGTTGGTTATAAAAACTTTTGGTAAAGTGCTCAATGGAAAACCAGAGCATATTTAAATTAAGGTACAACAATCAACAAAATCCACTAGGCATCTCTATTACTAAATAGTTTCGTACCACAAAATGTGGCACTCTTCAGATAAATTGACCTAATAACTATAGACTAAAACTTACAAGGTTATATATGTATACAAGTGCATGAGACTTTCTTTTTTTAAAAAAGTCTCATCCACTTGTATATACATATATAACCTTGTAAGTTTTAGTCTATAGTCATTAGGTCAATTTATCTGAAGAGTGCCACATTTTGTGGTACGAAACTATTTAGTAATAAAGATGCCTAGTGGATTTTGTTGATTGTTGTACCTTAATTTAAATATGCTCTGGTTTCCCATTGAGCACTTTACCAAAAGTTTTTATAACCAACGAAACCAAATCTTTATATATATATATATATATATATATATATATATATATATATATATATATATATATATATATATATATATATATATATATATATATATATATATATATATATATATATATATTGTACTGTTCTTTCAGTATTCTTTCAGATATTTATTTCTTTAATATTCTTTCATAAATTTCAACTAATAATAACACGCCACAAGCTTAGATATCACCCCAGTGTCGCAATGTTGTTGATAATATAGTTCGATTCGAGGCGATTCAAGGCGATTCACTAAAATATATAGGGGAATTTATTCTTATCTCAGAGTACACTAAGCTGATATCACATGAATTTAAATACTTGTACTTACATGACTTTGCAGCGGTTAATATATATATATCCTTCTGTATTTCTGTATTCTATACTAGTTCGTTCGCGTTCGTCCAATTCATAAACAACAAAAATGTCAATCACAGTTCTCAGCTAACTAACGCCTATAGGTGTGGCCTATTTTTCTTATAACTAATAATTAAAGTTAATAAGTAAATATGAAGTTTAGCGTGGTGATAACATCCCGCCCACCATGAACAATCTGGTAGAGATAGTTCATCACATAATAACTTTCTTTCACCACGTGCTTGTCAACCGTCCTTTATAACATTTGGTTATCAGCTGCTTCCAATAAACAGATTTTTGCAACAGGTCGTCTGAAAACTGAGTTCTTGGCTGTGACGTCAACAGTTCTTACTAATCCATCGGTACCAGGGAATACATCAACAATTCGTTCCATAGGCCACGTGTTTCTGGGTACGTTATCGTCCGCAATGAGAACGAGATCATTTACTTGTACGTTTCTCTGTGGCTGGTTCCATTTCCCTCTTTTTTGCAATGACGGTAGGTATTCTCGTAACCATCGTTTCCAGTGTGATTTGCAAGTAATTGTGCTTGTCTCCATTTCTTTCGGCTGTATCTGTCATTCTCAGAAATAATCTCGGGTGGTAGGTTCATAGCAGGTCGAAGATTCACGAAATGGTTTGGTGTAAGGGGTTCATTATCATTTACGCTTACATGATTCCGTGTCAGCGGCCGTGAATTGGCGATGCGTTCAGCTTCCGTAAAAACAGTGTACAACACTTCCTCGTTGACTAGATCTTTACCGACTATAGCCTTTAAACTTCTTTTCACAGTTCGAACCTATCTTTCCCATACTCCCGACATATGTGAGGCTCCTGGTGGATGAAAAACCCAATTGCACCCTCTTATGGCTAATTCGCTGGTCAGCTTCGTTTTATCCAGCTGTTTTATGACGTCTTGAATATCACGTTCAGCCCCGACGAAATTTGTCCCATTGTCAGAACGTATTTATTTTACGTGCCCTCTTCTGTTCAAAAATCTGATAAGAACTAGGATGAAAGCATCAGTCTCCAATGACCGTGCTACGTCCAGATGAACTGCTCTGCTGTTCATACATGTAAAGATGACTCCCCAACGTTTTTCGGTTGTTTTTCCTCTTCCTCGTTTAACATAGATCAGGCCAAAGTAGTCCACTCCTGTATAAAAAAATGCTGGCTCATACGGCGTCAGTCGTGCCTTTGGCAACTCTGCCATTTCTTGTTCTTGTCTTACGGCTGTTCGTTTTTTGCATTTAGTGCATCCGTTGAGAACTTCCTTTATCGCTGCGCGTCCTTTTAGAATCCAACAATGTTCTCTCGATAGGGCTAAAACTTGTTCGTGCCCGCAATGACCGTTTCTTTCGTGCAGAAACCGGATAAATATTCTGGTCACGTGATGTTTTCTTGGCAATATCATTGGGTTCGCAGCGTCTCGGGATATTGGCGCTCTTGAAATTCTTCCTCCAACACGTAAAATTGCTTCTTCGTCAAGGGTCGGTTTTAGTTTGGCTAGACTGCTGGATTTGATCGTAAGACCTTTAACTAACTTTGCTATCTCTTCATTAAAGGTTTGCCTTTGAACGAGCTTGATTATTTTACGTCTTGCGTTTTCGAGGTCTTCTAGCGTAATTTTCTTCTCCACGTCTGGTGACTGCGGGTTTTTCTGCTTTTCATCAATCTATTGAATGAACTTCTGCAGCCACGCGATTTTTCGTAAACACTTAATCCATTTGGAAGTATTGTTAATAAGAAAATCCAAAGATTTCATATGACTGACTTCGATGGCGTATATTTCTTTCTTTGTCTCGAGCGAGGTCTCAGGAACGTTCTGTAGCTTCGTCACCGGCCATTTTTCTTCTGGTTGAAGAAGGAATGCTGGTTAAGTCAACCACCGTTCGTTTTGTAGGAATTTCGGCATTTCTAGTCCCTGGCTTGCATTATCAGCAGGGTTTAGAGTCCCAGGGCAATATCTCCACTGGTCGGTCGTTGTAAGCTCATGTATTTCTGCGACTCGATTCGAGGCGTAAGTTTGAAAGCGTCGCGTCTCATTGTTGATATAGTTAAGGGTGATCATTGAATCGGTCCAGAATAATACTCTTCTGATATCAAGGTCCAGCTCCGTTCTAATAGCATTATCCATACGTGTCGCCAAGACAGCCGCCTGGAGTTCAAGTCTCGGAATGGTAACTGTCCTTAATGGCGCATTTCTTGACTTTCCTGCGACGAATGAGCATTCTATCTTTCCATCTGGATAAGTGATGCGTAGGTAAGATACGGATCCATATCCCACTTCTGAGGCGTCGTTGAAATTATGTAACTCCAGCGAACTTCCTTCGTGCTGAGGCTTAGTAAAGTAACATCTTGGAATCGTTATTTTCCTCAGGAGATGAAGATCTTTCTTCCAACTTTGCCATCTTTGTAGAATCTCGCCTTCAAG